AATAATAATAATAATAATAATAATAATAATAATAATAATAATAATAAAACTGTTCTGCTCGAATTTAAAAAAGTCGGACAGAAAACCAAACCCTGGACCCACCTGTCCTTGGTCTCCGCTGTGAGGCAGATGGGGACCAGCCGGTACAGATCACTGGGCTGCGGCGTCCAGCTCAGGGTGACCTCCGCCTTCCCGAACGCGCCATCCTTCACCTCCTTGCTGGCGTTCTGGGGGGCGCTGATCTGGAAGTCCTGGATGCTTTAGGGGGAAGAGAGGGAACCGTGAGAGGGGGGCGGAGCCTAGGAGGGAGAGCTGGCAGATGGGGGCGGAGTCAGTACGTGGCGTGTTGGGCCTGGGCCTCCGCGAACAGCTGGAAGGTCTGGCCCACGGTGGCGTGGAGCACGTCTCCATGGGACGGGGTCCTTGACAGGAACATGGGCAGCACGTGGCCCAGCACGCAGTTTGGAACCGGGGAAAGGACTGAAACACAAACGGGGACGGTTCTTGGCAAATGCTTGAGAATAAACTGAGAAATGGTGTAAATGTGTGACAATTTGATTAAAAATCGTATAAATGTGTGAAAATTTTATCAAAAATTGCAGAAATGTGTGAGAATAAACTGAAAAATGGTGTAAAAGTGTGCAAACAAGCTGACAAATTGTGTAAATGTGGGAGAATAATCTAAAAAAATGGTGTAACTGTGTGACGTGGACGGTTCCCAGCAGCCCAGGATGCACACAGGTCAACTGATGGTTTTGTCTCCCGTCTCAAAGGATTGAACTTTAGATAAATTGTGTCCTTCATTTCCACTCAAATTAATCATCATGAGGAAAAATTGTGTAAATGTGTGAAAATGAGATAAAAAAAATTGTGTAAATGTGTCAAAATTAGATGACAAATTGTGTAAATGTGTGAAAATGAGAAAAAAATGTCTAAATGTGTGAAAATTAGATGAAAATCTTTGTAAATGAGTGAAAATGAGATAAAAAAAATGTGTAAATGTTTCTAAATTAGATGAAAAATTGTGTACATTTTTTAATATGAAAAAAATATATATGTGTAAATGTGTGAAAATTAGATGAAAAATGGTGTAAATGAGTGAAAATGAGATTTAAAAAAATGTGTAAATGTTTTTAAATTAGATGAAAAATTGTGTAAATTTTTTTAAATGAGAAAAAAAAATGTCTGTAAATGTGTGACCATAAAATGAAAAATTGTGTAAATATGTAAAAATGACATGATAAAACCCACTCAGGGGCCAAACCCTCTCGGGGGGGGCGGGGGAGGGGGGGGGGCACTCACCCTCCACGGTGAACTGCAGCTTGACTCGGCACAGCGGGGGGGCGGTGGTGTCGGACGCCTCCCGGGACTCAGAGGCGCCATCTGCGGAGGTCAGACTGATGTTGCTGACGGGGAAGTCCTCCAGAAACAGCTCCAGCACATGGACGCCGAGGGGGGGGGTGGCCTGTTTGCCCAGCGTGCGGGAGGCGTGGGGGGGGGGGAAAAAGATGGAGGGACCAAAAGATGGAGGGACCAGAAAGATGGAGGGACAAAAAGATGGAGGGACCAGAAAGATGGAGGGACAAAAGGTTTGTGTGTCTCTGTGTGTGTGTCTCTCTGTGAGTCCCAGTGTGTCTGTGTGTGGCTCTATGTGTTACTCTCCGTATGTGTCTGTGTGTGTGTGTTTCTGTGTGTGTCTGTGTGTGTGTGTGT